GATTAACCTCGCTATGCGGGGCACCACTGTACTACCAACCACAACATTACAAAATCAATATGGACCTTTTCTTATGGCCAACATAAAACAAAACAGTTATATCACAAAGGAGTAAAATTATTCCCCAGTGAGTTACAGCTGTAATGCAACTTGGTTATGGCTTAGTTATTGCAAACAAAGAATCAAAAGTAACATTATTTGCAATGAGTTGCTTCTAAACAGTGGCTGGGAACTGCACAGGTTGTAGTCCAACATATCTTGAAAGGCAGGGAAAAGCTGAACAGGACCAGCCCACTCTCTCTCACAGTGGCTGGCAAGGTTGGGGAGTTCACAAGAAAAGAATTCAGACTGACAGAAAATCCCAGTGGCTTCTAATGTTTACATACCACAGAGACATTCAAGGATCCCAAACTTCGCTGTTCATCAAAGCGACATAACTTTTGATCTTTTCCACAAGGCTCCATTCCTTCAATCATGCTGGGGCCGGTGGATGTTTTGATGTCTGTGAGGGCCTTTGCCCAAGCTGAGGTGCTCACCAGCCACAAGAAAGCTATGACCACTGTGATAACAAAGTCCTACAGTAGCAAAGAAACAAATGATTAGTGAACAACCATCCAGGGAGAGGTGACAGAAACATGTACAGTAGAACCCCCATACCGCCAAGCCCCCCCCCATGGATACTGAAAATCGCAGATAACAGTGAACGCTATATAGACAGAAAGAGCAACATAAAAGGGAAAAAAAAACATTTTTTTCCACATGCATTACCAAAACTAGCCAATGCACGGCGCCAGAGACCATGCTATGTACAGTATTCTTCACAAACAAGTACTGTATTCACTAGACAGAGGGAAAATAATTTTTCTGGATTTGTTTCTTAATATATTTTTTATATTTTCAGAACATGAAGAAGCGATACTGTTCCCATGGATACAGGAGTCCTGCTGTACAAAAAAAATGAGGGGAGCTGTTAAGCATTATACAAGACTAAGGCACACTATGCCTTTAATGTTCAGTGGCAAGAGAGTGTGGTACAGTTAGCCTAGAATGTAGAAGATCCAGATTCATGTTCGCACAGAGTAGTGAAATCTGCTTGATGACTCTGGACTAAGAGTCCCTCTCCTTCTCAGAACAGTTGCTAGGAGGATAAAGAGGGGAGGAATATGATCACAATGTAAGCAAGACACACATGGCACAGCAGTGGCATATGCAGATTGCTTCTGAATGACACAGTGACTCAAATCCTATTATCTGTGCTTATGTAACTTGATGTAGCTCTGATTGGGCCAAAGCAGAAGCACTATCCACAAAGCACTTCTGTGGGCACATTACGCAACCGATCACAATGAGAACAATCAAACTGCATAATCCTCACTGCCTGGGCAGAAAGCCCAGCACATTTATGACACTGCAACGTTAGGTTACACAAAGGCAAGGAGGATTCTGGCCATTACAGAAGCTCTGTCTCTAGAGTTTGATCTTTAATAGCCATTCTAACATATGCAATTTATGAGAGGAAATGGATCTCAACAAAGGGATTCAAATCAGGGATCCAAAGGGGATTCCAACTAAATGTTAAGTACTTCCTGGCAGTTAAAAGAGTTGACTTACTGGAGTGAAATGGGCTGTACTGGAAGCTGGCAAACTTTCCTTTTTCAGAGATTTTAAAGCAGAGGTTGGAAAACCATCTGTCAGGAATGCTTCAAGCTGTAGATTTCCTGCACTGGCAGGCAGATGGATTCAAACATTCTTAAGGTCTCTTTTAATTGTAAAGTTCTAAGATTCTGTCCAAAAGTGACACCTACTGATGAACTTTCATAGGGAAGGCAAGTGACCAAAGGCCAAAGCATCTGGCCCATCTGCAAGGCTCCCCACCCATTGTCTTAGCAAGAAAGTGAGTGGGTCAAGTAAAGGGCAACCTCTGTCAGCAGATGCTGAAGAAAATGTTGAGGTTCATCTATAATGGTAAACCAGGTATCTTTTTTTAAAATTCTGGGTTGTGTCTGAAGCTTTCTCCATTAAAAAACCATGGTTTGTGCGCCACAGCAGAAGTCAGAGGCCATAATAACTGGCGTAAGATCTCTGGTTTGCTTAAATACACCACTTATCATTATACCAGAAACCAGGTGTAAATGTTTCTTCAGCTGCCTACCCTGAAATAGGAGTTTACAAAAGGAATGGGAGAGAAATGGACCAAAATTGCAAAGTATGAATGCTGACTTGTTTGAATCCATGTCAAAAGGCACAGCTTAGTATGATAGGCCAACATGACTACCAACCCTAAGAGAAAGGCCTCCCACTTGACACAATGCCGGGAGGATACGCTTTTTGCCTAAAAATAACATTCAATGAGTGAGAAACATATTCTTATTTCACCACAAAAAGATCTGCCCTCCCTGCTACCCAGTGGCATTCAGCTACAGTGGTGCCCCGCTTGACGATTACCCCGGTAGACGACGAAATTGCTTAATGATGATGTTTATGCAATTGCTATTGCGATCGCAAAATGATGTTCAATGGGGGAAATCCGCTTCACAACAATCGGTTCCCTGCTTCGGGAACCGATTTTTCGCGTCACGACGATCTTTACAGCTGATCGTCGGGTTTTCAAAATGGCCGGCCCGTTTTCAGTACCTATTTCCGGAAGACAGCGATCGAAAATGAGGTACCGTGGTGCCCCGCATAGCAAGGTTAATCCGTTCCGGATTAACCGTCGCTATGGGGAAACATCGCTATACGGAAAGTAAAAACCCATTGGAATGCATTAAGCTTAGTTTAATGTGTTCCAATGGGGCCCAAACTCACCGTTCAGCGAAGTTTCTCTATAGCGCCGCCACTTTCGCGCCCTCAGTAAGCGAGGGCAGGGCGTGAAAACGCTGCACGTGGCCATTTCGGCCGTCCGGCGGCCATTTTGGAACCGCCAATCAGCTGTTTAAAAAATCGCTATGCGAAAATCGGTAAGCGAAACGCTTACCGATTGTTGCCAAGCAATTTTTGTCCATTGGAAACATTGGTATGCGATCGCATTAGGGATCGCAAAATCCGCATCACTATGCGGATTCATCGTTAAACAGTGAGCTCGTTATGCGAGGCACCGCTGTATTTCACCCACTGGAACGCATTGAACCAGTTTTCAATGCATTTCAATGGGTTTTTTCTTTCGCTTGACGACAATAACGCTTAACAGCGATTTTAACGGAATGGATTAACGTCGTCAGGCGGGGCACCACTGTATATGCTTCTTCACTACAATTATTTCTATCCTAATGTTGCACCATAAAAGCAACAACACTCATGGCTGCTTGCCTGTTAAACAAACAGAAACATCATTTTAAAATACTAAAAGCCGAAGTTTACCAAACAGAAACTGATAGGGTTGGCATTGACATTGCTTCATTGTGCTGTTTGAGGCAACACCTATTTAAGACTGACCACATTATTTTAGCACGTAAGCCCCAACATTTGAAAAACAACAACTCTACAACCCCATCTTCTTCTGGTTTACACTAACAACACAAGAATGGGAAATTAAAAATCCAGCCATTCCTGACACTTAAGATCTATAACCTGAAGCAGCCATTTGACTCTACCAAATGACAGGGCTGGCCTTGGAAATGTGTTGGAATAGATGTAGCAACCTTTGCAAAAGGATGCCAAATGTCAAATGACAAAGGGAGGAATGGCCCAAATAATTCAGAATTTCATAGCCATTTGGGTAAGGTGTCGGTGATCTGAGGGCATCCTGCATTGGTAACCAGAATACAACTAGATATTTATTTATTTTATTAGATTTATACCCCGCCCATCTAGACCAATGGTCTACTCTGAGCAGCAATACACAGAAAGATACTGTACACAGAAAGAGTGACACACTTACCAGTGTTCCTGTGATTCCAGCAGCAAGGAGAAGGAGAAAGAGCAACTGTATCACCATTTTAAAAAAAACTTTGAGGGGGACCACACCATACCTCCCCAGAATTGGGGGTAACCACTCAAATACACTCAGAGGTCAAAGGGTTGGGGGTTGATGCTTTACATTCGGAAAATGCATATTTTTTTAAAAAAAATGCATGAACTTGTAAATTTTAGATTATGTATTAACCACTTATATAAATAAGCAAATTTATTTCAATTTTTTAAAAAAATCTCTTGGTCATTAACTTTCCAAAACATACCTTTGCTCACAATACTCATTCACAGAAGGAGGAAATGGGATAAAATAATAACCGGCATGAGAATGTACTGTATTTAAACAGATGGGATTTAGAAAAATAGAAATAACCCGATCCCTCCAGATGTAATGGATTACAGATCCCATAATCCCCAGACAGCCGCAGCAGCTAGACAATGGGAGTTGTAGTTCAACACCTCAGGGAGGGCCTGCATCATGGAAGGCTGTTCTAGCACAGGGGTGAGGGATCCAGAGCTGTCCAGATGTTGCTGGATTTCAAATCCCAAACGTTCCTTGCCAGCACTGCAAGTGGTAAGACACGGGGGGGGGGAGAGCTGTAATTCAGCAACATCTGGAGTGCCCCGTAATCCCCATTAGCGGACAACACAATCTGAGTGTTGGTTACTACGACACCCTGCTGTGTCAGTGTCTAATGGAGCAATCTTGATCAAGTGAGCCCTAACTTCCTTATTTGTTGCACAAGAAGACTGCCATCTCCTTCGCGGGGCTACTGCAAAGAAAAATCAAGCTGAAAAGCAGTTCAAAGCACGTGACAAGACATTGCAAATACCCTGTTGGCAGGTATACAGGAAAAGTTCTGAAATTATATAGGAAGAACTGCTGGATAGCAGTTTAGACATCTGGCGGTGGAGCTAGAGCTTGGGGGTTCGATTCCACATTGTGCCTCCTGCACAGAGGCTGGACTCAGCGATCCATAAGGCCCCTCCCTTCTATCGCTGCATTTCTAAGATGATTATTCTTAAAGAATATGCAGAATTCTTACCACCTTAGGATAGTTCCATGAGTGTTGAATTTGGCTATTGCATGTTAATACCCAGTCAAAATGTTTCTGATTTACGGCGATCCTATGAATTAATGACCTCCCAAAAGTTCCATCTATAATAAACCTAGCTCAAAGCATCTGAAAATTCTTACCACCTTAGGATAGTTCCATGAATGTTGAATTTGGCTATTGCATGTTAATTATGTTATTTATTGTTCCACCTTCTTTGGATCCATGGCAATTTGCATACAGGAGAAATAGATCTACTGATGATGCTGTGTCCATCGTACTCCATACTGTATTGAGCCACTTAGAACATCAGGGAACTTATGCGAGGCTGTTGTTTGTGGATTATAGCTCTGCTTTTAACACCATTCTACCAAATAGGTTGTTTTTAAAAATGATCAACCTGGGATTACCTCAGGAGATCTGCATGTGGATAAAGGATTTTCTGACAGATAGGCCACAGTCAGTAAGGATGGGATCTCACCATTCTTCTACCCTGGTACTAAGTACAGGAGCTCCCCAGGGCTGCGTGCTAAGTCCCTTCCTCTATTCCCTGTACACACATGATTGCACCCCACTATATAACACCAATGCAATTATTAAATTTGCGGATGATACGACAGTGGTGGGACTCATAAATAAGAACAATGAGTCTGCTTATAGAAAGGAAGTACAAAGATTGATACTATGGTGTAAAGAAAATCATCTCACACTTAACATCAAAAAAACTAAAGAACTCATAATTGATTTTAGGACGAAGAGAAATGTACATTTACCACTGTACATAAACGGTGAGGAAGTGGAGAGAGTTGGTAGTTTTAAATTTCTGGGTACTTACATCTCAGAGGACCTCTCATGGACTATAAATGCCAACATGCTAATAAAGAAGGCACAGAAGAGGCTGTATTTCCTGAGAATGCTCGGGAAGTTAAATTTATCACAGCATTTACTTCTGTCCTACTACCGTAGCACCATTGAGAGTGTCCTAACCTATGGCATTCTGGCATGGTTTGCGAGTAGCTCTGTAGCGGACAAAAAAGCTCCACAGAGAACCATTAAAATTGCCCAGAATATCATCGGGCTCCAGCTACCAACCCTGGATGACATCTTCACATCCCGCTGTCTGAGCAAGTCACACAGCATCCTGAGAGACTCTTCCCATCCTGCTTATAACTTTTTTGAACTGTTACCATCTGGCAGAAGATATAGAACAATTAAGACTCGGACCACACGTTTTCTAAATAGTTTTTATCCTAGAGCTATAATTACAATTAATAATGAGCTTAAAGACCACCAGTAGTGAATAATTAGTTGGACTGTGTTACTTGGCCTGTGGTGTAGATGTTTGTATTTTTAGTGGGGGACTT